AATCATTTGATTCAGTTCGTAACTTAGAAGCGGATTCGTGAATCATTTGATTTAGATCGGGACTTCAGAGCGCGGAGTACGAATCATTTGATTTAGATCGGGACTTCAGAGCGGATTCGTGAATCATTTGATTCAGTTCGGGACTTCGGAGCACGGAGCATGAATCATTTGATTTAGATCGGGACTTCAAATCGCATATCGTGAATAATTTGATTCAGTTCGGGACTTCGCGGATCACGAATCATTTGATTCAGTTCGGGACTTCGAAGCGCGAATCATTTGATTTAGATCGGGACTTCAGAGCGCGGAGTACGCTCCGAAGTTCCGAGCTTAATAAAATTATTTGCGATCCGCGAAGTTCCGAGCTTAATAAAATGATTCGCGATATGCAATTTGAAGTCCCGATTTGAAGTCCCGAATTGAATCAAATGATTTGCGCTCCGAAGTCCCGAACTGAATCAAATGATTCGCGCTCCGAAGTTCCGGCAAATGATTCGTGCTCCGAAGTCCCGAACTGAATCAAATGATTCGTGCTCCGCGCTCCGAAGTCCTGATCTAAATCAAATGATTCGTGCTCCGCGCTCCGAAGTCCCGAACTGAATCAAATGAATCGTGATCCGCGAAGTTCCGAGCTTAATAAAATTATTCACGATATGCGATTTGAAGTCCCGATCTGAATCAAATGATTCGCTGTACTTGATCCGATTGGAGCACTTCGAAACAGTGAATCATTTTGCGAAGCAATGTTTTAACTAATTCGTTTCACCCATCACTATACGTGCTTTTTAAAATCATTACAAGCGATGTTGAAATTCGAAAATCAATGGCTCTTTTGATCCGGTTTTTGCTAGTGAATCGCTTGAACTGAATCATCGAAGTCACGAATTTGAATCAATCGGAGCGCTTTCAGCGTAAATGACTCACTCGATTGAATCGGTTCATCTGTTCCTCAGTCATGTTTACGCGACACTGTCAGCACTACTACTGGCTCAGCTCGCTAGTTTTATGAGACTAACTGAAGCTGAACTGTGTTCGTATGTTTGAAACACTTCTGCTCACTTATATGTTCTTACTCCACACATCTATTAAATGTGCGCAGTTTTCTAGCGTATTCACTTTAACTTCTCAGGTGACTGACTGCAGATGCGGCCGAAATGGAATGGAAAAAAATACTATGGAAGTCAATGGCTACCATCAACTGTTCATTTATTCAGGTTCATTTTTGGGTGAACCTTTGCTTTAAATCAACCAGAAACTGGTGGAATTATGCATTTTCAGGTTGGAAAATTGGTTTTCCATTGCACTTTTATAAGCAACAAGTTGGAAATGACAATTTTCTGAACTGAATGGGACATACATAACTCTTAACTTCCATTAAAATCAAAAGAGAATAGAAATATTGTTCAAATCCCGGTCCTATCTCTAAAATATGATGGGTTGAATCAGATCTAGTGTTGTTTTTGGCGGCCTGTTTTAATTTTAGTCTAGTCTCGTCTCGTCTCGTTTTCGTCACGTGATAAAGGTTCGTTGACGATGATATTTAGTCATAATTTTCGTTGACGAAAGCAACACTAATCAGATCTAATCTTATTTGATTACATTTTGGCATAAACTCTTAAAAATGGAGGTTCCAAAAGGGTTTTTACTACAGTCAGAAGTGAAAATAACACAAGCAGAACACAACATAATGAATGCCGGCAACAAATACTTTATGCAACTGTTTTGTTAAATGTTACAAATACTGCACATTCTTCTGAGTTAAAAACAGAACGAACCTGTCTACTAGCGTTGTGCTGTGGTGTACATTCTATAGACTACAGATAAGTGTGCACATAGACAGCATTTATGATGCTAATCATCAGATTGAATCACTTCTGTCCTTTCTTTGGATTTTTTCAAAGCTTTCTCCAGTTCTTCCATCACAGGCAGAGGTCCCTCGTATTTGTTGGTTTCAATAGACCTGAGTTTGTCCTGATAGTCCTTCGGAAGCCCGTTCTGCTCCGCGCCCATCACAATAACCTGAGACACAGAAGGTACTTCATTTCTACTGGCATCTTTTAGATATTTCTATCATTTGAGCTCTAGAGGACACACCTTCCGCAGGAATCTAGTCTTGCGTTTACAGACTTTTGAGTGTTATCATAAAATGCAGTTTATTCTGGCCAAGAACAGGAAGATTCGTCATGTGACGTGAACAATGTGTCGTTTTTGTGCAGATTATTTTTTACGGTTTTAGATTTTTAGCTTTTTGGTTAAAAATTAGCTTTTCTTCCTCTTCTGTAAATGCAAAATGACTTTTGCATTTACAGAAGAGGAATAAAAAGCAAGTGAAAATTAAATGTAGATTTTAGGTTAAAATGTAAATGAATGCATTCAGGATAATCTTGGGTCCTGACACCATTTCTTTCAACTTTTTCACAGAAACTGGATTATAAAGTCTTAATTCGCCTTTCCACAAATGAAAGCCTTAAAAGGTCTTAAATCAGAGCAGAATTTCTTAAATTCATAAAGTTGTGGCATTAAATGTTGCATGCACTGCAAAAAAACCTCAGTGTTTTTATCTTGTTTTCCAGTTCAAATATCTAAACATCTTTAAACCAAGACACATTATACTGGAGATGGAAAATGAATATATAAATTCTTGTTTTTTTGAGAAACTGAACAAAATTAAATGAGTTTACGCTTAAAACAAGAACAAATATCTGCCAATGGGGAATGAAAACCTGTTTTCTCAATGAAATATGATTTTTATTTTTAATTTTAATACATTTCTTATAAAATTTCTTATATGTAATTTCTTGATTTAAGAATTTTTAGACATTTGCTCTGAAAAACGAGACAAAAATACTGAGGGAGAGCATCATTTATGAGTCATAAATTTGCAGAAACCCTGTAATCAGCATAATTTTTCAACATTACGTGCTCCTGCAGTGTCACAAACTAAATTTGACATGCTTTACAGTACTAATTGTTTAATCTGCATGTGACAAGAACAAAATGTTTGCATGTAAATGTTTAGGACAGTACAGAGATTTATTCATAAAGCTATAACAAGCACGTGTGCTAGTTGCCTCATTTGTGCTAAAAGTGACGTCCAGTATAGATGGATAAATATGTAAATGTTATTTTATCCCAGAGACCCTTGTATTATGAAAATTATAGTGCGTATTGCTTCGGTTTGATGTGTTTTTGTTGTAGCAGTTGCTGGCGGTGCTCTATTGTCTCATACAAAGCTGGCCGGAGCAAACGCCAGAAAAAACACCTCAGCATTGTCCTTTCGCCAGCAGCACAAAATAACAAACTCATTCTGTTTGGAGGATGATATCAGATTACTCCGTTTAGAGAAGCACGTGTTTCTGTTGTTGCTGCTATAATTTGACACACAATACATGCTGAGAAAACAGAATCGGGTTCATTTGTTATCTAAATCTCCTCTTAATTCAGAAAAGTTCATGCAGTAATTGTGTCGGATCTTTCAATGAATCAGTGGATCCAGTTCACAAAATCAGTCTGAATGATTCGTTCACAAATCAAAGTGATCAGAGTTCAACTCACTGAATCAGTGATTCAGCCAAAGCAGTTAACAACCCATTGGAGGAAGTGCTTATTAATGAATAACCATTTAATTTTCAGTTTGTTCCAGCTCTAGAAATCACACTTTTTAAATTACGAATCCTTATATATCGTCTCATTTCTAGAATGTGAGAATCAAGGTTCTTCTTGTTGAAGGGTTGAATTAAAATAAGAAATATCTTCATTTTTAGTTGTCTTATGCTTGTTTTCTCATTTAAAATCACTTTAAGTCATCCTGAGGCCCTTTTGAAAGTGTTGAGAACCACTGATGTAAACGAAGCTAAAGTCCTGATAAAAGCCGTATTTTGTGACTTGTTATAGCACGCAGGAGACTGTACCTGTAGATACTGCAGCGACGGTGGCGCATAAATGCAGCTGTTCATGATATACATCCGACAGCTGAGGTCCTGGTTGCTGGTGGAGACGTTCATCTCCACTGGACTGTAGGTGCCCATTTTCACATTCTCCTGCCTGCAGAGGAACATCCAGCACATGTGAGGAGCGCCATTTGTCCCTAAGCAACACTTCTACATGAAGATCTCTGACTGTTGTGGGTCTGAAAGCTCCTACCTGTCCAGGGACTCGAGGTCCGACATGTTCATCCTCCACACGACGCCCCACACGTCGTCCCCCGGGCAGTGCTCGATGGTCGCAACACCGCCATGCCAGCGCTGACTCGCCAGTCCTTTATGGTTCCCGAAGACCAGTTTATAGTCCTAGAGAGGATGACGAGTCAGTTAGATAGATAGATTGATAAAAAGATGGATGGATAGATGAATAGACAGATAGATGGATGGATAGATAAATATAGTTAAACAGTCTGATGGATAAACGGACAGATGGATGGACAAATAGATAAACAATCGAATAGACAGACGGATGGATAAACAGTCAGTTGGATGGACAAATGGATAAACAGTTGGATAGTTGGATGGATGATGGAAGGATGGATAAACAGTTGGATGGATGGATGAACAGTCGGATAGTTAGACGGATGGATGATGGACAGAAGGATAAACGGATGGATGGATGGATGGATGAACAGTCGGATGGATGGATAAACAGTCAGATGGATGGATGGACGGATGGATAAACAGTTGGATGGATTGATGAACAGTCGGATAGTTAGACAGATGGATGATGGACAGAAGGATAAACAGTTGGATGGATGGATGGATGAACAGTCAGATGGATGATGGATGGATGGATGGATGAACAGTCGGATAGTTAGACAGATGGATGATGGACAGAAGGATAAACAGTTGGATGGATGGATGGATGAACAGTCAGATGGATGATGGATGGATGGATGGATGAACAGTCGGATAGTTAGACAGATGGATGATGGACAGAAGGATAAACAGTTGGATGGATGATGGATGGATGGATGAACAGTCGGATGGATGTATAAACAGTCGGATGGATGGATGAACAGTCGGATGGATGGATAAACAGTTGGACGGATGGATAAACAGTTGGACGGATGGATAAACAGTCGGATGGATGGATAAACAGTTGGATGGATGATGGATGGATGGATAAACTGTCGGACAGATGGATGGATGAATAAAAAATATGAATAAAAAAATGATGGATAGATAGATATAGTTAAACAGTCTGATAGATGGATAGATAGATGGATGAAAATACAGATAGATGGATGATGAATGGTCGGATGGATGAATGGATAGATCGATATATAGACGGATAGATAGATACCTTGAGTTTGGCCACGCAGTAGATGGTGGCTGACGGGTTCTTCAGCTGCAGTCGCTCCTTCAGAAGATTACTGCCGTAAGCGAAGTACAGGAAGGTGGATCTGTTCTGGTGGTCGGTGCTGTTGTCCATCATTGAGTCTTCAGAGGGCAGAGGGACAAGGAGGACGAGGATGAGGATGAGGAAGAGGAGGAGGAGGGACAGGGTGAGGAAATGGAAGAGGGACATATTTGCGTGTGGAATCAGGTCAGCGGGGCTCAGAGGCAGAGTGAATGAGATGGAAAACACCTCTGTTACCGGAGCTTTCAGCAGCACTCCATTCTCATGCAAATCTATTGTGCGCCAAACGGCTAACATGAACGCCTGCATTCATCTGATCCCAACGGCTAGCAAGAACTTTCCCAACTGTCCCTCTAGTGGAAGCAGCAGGAATAACCTTTAAGCAGTGAAAATTCACCTAAAATAATGCAGGTGTCCCAATATATTAAGACGTTTATAATGGGAACATGAAATGCATCCGAACAACAGAAAGTGCCCTGGGGCCAGTTGCATAAACAAGACTCGTGTCTTAAGAACTAGTTTGACTAATTAGCAGTTAACCAAGTGGTAATCTGTCTTGCTTTTCAGATTCAAATTAGACCAAGTTTTTATGTAACTGATTTGTGATCAGTCTTGTAGAAAAAAACTAGATGACTAACTTTTAATACTAGTCGAAGCAATTTATGCACTGACTGTAATGATGTTAAAATGCTAAAAGCATTGCATAAGCAAGATTGTATATTGCACTGGCTTCACTGTAAATGCCAGTGACTGTTGATTTAGCAAAAGACTGGTTTTCTTTATGTCCTCTACTTTCGGGTTTCAGTTTACCTCCTTTTTTTTTTGTTGCATTTTAGCTGATTATACAATTGACATAAAGAATTAAATTTTTTTTCAGTTGAAACGCGGATTGAGTGATTATGAGACATCAGACCCGTTATTATTGCTTTAGCTGGACTTTAGCCTAAATTCGACATCAAGTTGCTGTCTGAGACGCCCTTTTGATTGACAGGATATAATCGGCCCTGATCTTTGCCTGTTTTTTTTAACAATCAGCCCTATTGCTTTTGTCGACCAATACTGGTTATTGATCCTTCTAATTAAGTTGCTAATTGTTTTCCTGCTTTAATACTTGCATAAGTAGATAAAAGTTGATAAAAAGATTGAATCCAAGATTTGGTAATAATATAGTGTAATGAGAGATTTATAAGCAATTGTTTTGTAGGTCGGTCATTTTAGACAAGTGTAATAATGTGGGGAAAAAATCCCAAAAAGTACACAAATTATAATAAATTTTTTAGTAAGTTGTTCTACCCTGCGTGAGCAAAGTCAGTAAGTTTTAGTCCAATGTGACAACATTAACTAGCATTTTCAGGAAAAAGAAAATCCTTTCCGGGTTAAATGGAAAACAACATATGAGGGTTACATAAAGGATGCACCGCTATGAACATTTTGGCCGATACCGATAATTCTTTATATATGAAAGCCGATAACCGATATGTTGGCCCATAAATCTAAATCCAAATTTTTATATAATTTTTGAGAGCCTGATTACCAAAAAAGTCTCACCATTAAAAGGCATTAAACACTTCAACATAAATCAAACATAAAGCAGCCTTACAAATAAATAAAATAATGCTTAAATAATGCAAACAAGTCACTGGACAGCATTACTTACATGTAAAAAAAAATAAAAAATCATGTGCCATGGATAAATTAAACGGAATAACCTCCGCACCGACAATAATGAAATTATTTTAATTAAACCATATTGTTGATGAAAATAATAAGATACTAATAAAAGTGGTGGTTATTATTAATAATATATTTGAAAAAGAAGTATCTTAAAACTAATACCACTGTTTCAAATAGTAGCATTGCTGATTGAGAGCTGAATGAACACCAGTAAACTGATGCACTTTTATGCTGTATGAGAATCAGATCTTTATACAACATAAACATAAAATTAAAACTTATATATGCACAAAAAGACACAAATGCACAAGCGATCTTGAACTAAGTTACGCACTAGTCAGAATGTGTAACTTCTGTTGTGGATGCACTCTTCCCGCAACGTTTACAAAGTTTTATTATAATAGTGTTCTCATTATAATGTTATATATATGACAGTCAGTCCCAATCATAGTTATTAATGTTGTGCACTGAGCTAAGATCACCAGCAAACTGAAGCGCTCTATTAACGCTCTATAAGCGTTACTATATATATGAGATAAATCAGATTTATATGCATAAAATAAACACAATATTACAACGTACAATTGCACAAAAGGCTGTAAATGCACAAGCTAGTCATGAAGGTGTAGCTCCGTTGTGGATGCGCTCTTCACGCAAGAACGCGCTGAAACACGGGCGAACATAGATTCCATAGCATTATTTTACAGTAGCTAATGATCTCATAATATGACGGACATGCCCTGCACATGATGCAGTTCACTGTATTTTCCTTTTCGAAGTGATTCCAATAATATTTCAAGCAATTAAAAACCATCATGGCGAACAGTGCGCATCTGAAGCATCTCTGCAGGAAATAATGCATTATTTATCGGCTTTAAGATATCGGCCACATTTTCTTATCGGTTTGATACCAATAACAGAAAAATTTACATTTATCGGCCGATACCGATATGGCGGCCGATATATAGTGCATCCCTAAGAAAAACTGACATAAAGCAGTGATAAAGTAGATGCAAATGTCTCAAAGTGCACAGACTAGTTGAGATGTGAAGCGGTGCATAACTCTGGAGGTTGAACCCATGAATTTGTTAAGGTGTGAATGTGTCAGTGTTAATGTGCTTCATTCACACATCTTCATATAGATCACAGACAGACACTGAATCTTCACAGGGGTTTTGATGAATGATTAAATGTCAGGTAAATATAAATGTGAATGCAGATAATAAGATTCCTAAACATGTATTTTGTAGTGATTTAACAGGAACTACATTGTAAAAAATAAATAAATTCTAAAAATGTTGTTTGTTTTAAAGGAAAATACTTTGTTTAGTTCTGTTACTTGACATTTCATTGTAATTAATTGTGAAATTTACCACTAATTTCTGAAAATAGTTTCTACAACAAATATTTTTCAGTGACATATTAAACTTGATGTGGTGTGCATTACAAACAAACGTTGTTCATTGAAGTCTTTTGTTAATAATTGCCTGATTGTTCGTATTTTTGTCAAATGATTGCATATCTCTTTAAGGTTGTAACACTTCTGATGATTAGATAAACACAGCTTTATTGATCCACTCTGGAAAATTGAGCAAATGTTAATAAATGCTCTTTTAACTTATTAAAGCGTGCAGTTTTTTGTTAAAAATATAAGAAAAATCTGAAATTCCTTCATTATTTTGATGATCATGTGCACATGCACTCTGAGTTGCAATGCCAATAGACGGCAGTGCTAGACAGACCGAATTACCAGAATATAAACCAGATTTGATCAGTTTTGCATGGTTAATGATATGCATGGCTTTTAAGCTTGAATTCTTTTCTTTAGAATGGCTTCTGTGAACAGTTACTTTGTTCTTGTGAATTAATATTTCATTTACTAATGGCAAGACCAGCTGAAAGTACTAGGTTTATGCATTGAGCTCTTTTAGATGAAGGACTAGTGACTAGATTTATTGGCACCAAATCTGAGAAATGCATGCAAAATTAATGTCTAAATAACTAATGTCTCTCTTCACTTCAGGGTCTCTCTTGTGGTTTCTGAGGTGAAGATTAGTCACGGGTAGTTTCGCACAGAGATCCGGTTTAGTTTCCCACCAGGACAGAGTCATGAATCCAGCAATACACCAACTTAATGACCAAATTTAGATTGTCCCTTTTGTGGCCACTTCTGTTATATACTGTATGTGATACCCAGCTGACATATTTGCATGCACAGTAACAGTGCCAAAGAAACAGTTCACCTCAAAAAACAAGTTATTAACTGACGGACTGGAGAGGTGTGGATTACTTGTGGATTATTGTGATTTTTTTATCAGCTGTTTGGACTCTTTTTCTGATGGCACCCATTCACTGCAGAGCATCCATTGATGCTACATTTAAATTTTCACACACGCCACATTTCAATCTTGCGTGTGTGTCTAATGCTGTGGGACTCGGGAATGTCTGGCGTTTGCCGTACCTCTGCCAGATGCATGGAGGAGGTGAGAGGATTCGACTTTTACGTGTTTGCACGTGAACGTTCGCTTTTCTGTACTAGTCTTTGATGGAGAGCTTGAAGACAACAGCAACGGAACAAAACATGCAATGTGATATTTGCAAGACTTTCCAAAAATTCTAAACAAATTGATAGATTTTTCTCTTTTTA